TTTTTCTTTACTCTGAGGTCTACTAGTTTCATTTATTTATTTGTAATTTGTAGGTTCAGGGGTACATGTGCAGGTTTGTTATAGAATTAAATTGTGGTCAGGTGCAGTGGCTCATGCCTGTAATCCCAGCACTTTGGGAGGCTGAGGCGGGTGGATCACAAGGTCAGGAGTTCGAGACCAGTCTGACCAACATGGTGAAACCCTGTCTCTACTAAAAATACAAAAATTAGCCAGGCATGGTGGCGTGCACCTGCAGTCCCAGCTACTTGGGAGGCTGAGGCAGGAGAATCGCTTGAACTCAGGAGGCAGAAGTTGTGGTGAGCAGAGATCACGCCACTGTGCGCCTGGGTGACAGGGAAAGACTCCATCTAAAAAAAAAAAAAACAGTGAGAACATGCTAAATCCAGCATCCTTTTTCCCTTTTCTGAGTCTCCCTCACCACCGTGGCCAGCTAATTTTTGTATTTTTAGTAGAGCCAGACTTTCACCATGTTGGTTACACTGGTCTTGAACTCCTGACCTCAAGTCATCCATCTGCCTGGACCTCCCAAATGCTGGGATTACAGGCGTGTGCCACCGAGCCTGGCCAAACCAGTACCTTCTTAAGGTGCTTGATCAATGTCGGTTCTTTCTTCCTCCTTGGACTTTTTCATCTCCCAGAAATCACCCCTGTGGTCTCCATTGCCTACAAAGTCCTACAAGTTTTCCCCAAAGGCCGCCGGGTGCTCATAACCTGCCATGCACCCCAGGCACCACCGCCCATCACCTATTCCCTCTGTGGAACCAAGAACATCGAGGTGGCCAAGAAGGTGGTGAAGACCCACGAGCCGGCCTCTTTCAACCTCAACATCACACTCAAGTCCAGTCCAGACCTGCTCACCTACTTCTGCCGGGCGGCCACCACCTCAGGTGCCCATGTGGACAGTGCCAGGCTGCAGATGTACTGGGAGCTGTGGTCCAGTGAGTGCGGTGGGGGGCACAGGGCTGAGGAGGCAGGTGGGGTGCAGATCAGTGGGGAGCTCTGGGAGTGGGAATTGTGAACCTTGCTGGGATAAGAGAGAGCCAGGACGTGAGGGTGCGGACAAGGACAGGCTGCCGCCTCCAAGGCCACTCTCAGTCCCCTGGGGCCTTTTCTCAGGACTTGCTGTCCTTGGCTGGGGCCCTGAGGGCACAGTTTCCTGGCAGGGGCCTGAGGGCACAGAAGGAAAGAGCCCAATGGATGGCAGAAATGACTGAGCCCCAGTTGTCATCTCGGACCTCAAGGTGATAAACTAGGCATGTTTGGCTGGGTGCAAATCCCAGCACTGTGGGAGGCCAAGACAGGATGATCGCTGGAGCCCAGGAGTTCGATACCAGCCTGGGCAACATGGCGAAACCCCATTTCTACTAAAAATACAAAGATTAGCCAGGCGTGGTGGGGTGCACCTGTAGTTCCATCTACTCAGGAGACTGAGGCAGGAGAATTGCTTGAACCCAGGAGGCGGAGGCTGCGGTGAGACAAGATTGTGCCACTGTACTCCAGCCTGGGTAACAGAGCGAGACTCCGTCTCCAAAAAAAAAGAAAAGAAAAGAAAGTTAGGCACGTTTTGTACATTACTTCACTTGATCTTCACAGCCGTGTCAGGGGTGGGGTCTGAGCCTCTGGGTCTGTAGCTATGGAAGCTAAAGCTCTGGGGTGTTAAGAAAGTTGCCCCAGGGGCTGGGTGTGGTGGCTCACACCTGTAATCCCAGCACCTTGGGAGGCCTATGCGGGTGGATCACTTGAGGTCAGGAGTTCGAGACCAGTCTGGCCAACGTAGTGAAACTGCATCTCTACTAAAAATACAAAAATTAGCTGGGTGTGGTGGCGGGCACCTGTAATCTCAGCTACTCGGGAGGCTGAGGCAAGAGAGTCACTTGAACCCAGGAGATGATGGTTGCAGTGAGCCGAGGTTGTGCCACTGCACTCCAATTGCACTCCAGCCTCTGGGCGACAGAGTAAGACTCTGTCTCAAAAAAAAAAAAAAAAAAAAAAGTCACCCCAGGCCACATGGCTGGCAAGTGGCCAAGGCTGCTTTCAAACCCCACTCTGTCCAGCTCCGAAGCCTGCCTTCTTTCGGTTTCCATCCTGATAGTAACTCAGGTAACCTTCTTGGTGGGAGCTATGGGGTATGGGAACCAGGAAGTGTTGCCCGACTTCGGGTGGGACAAGGAAGCTCCCCGTTCATCCTTTGCCCCACACCCTAAGAACACCAGGAAAAGACAGCCTAGGGGAGATGAGCCCAGGGTCTGCAGCCCAACATGTTCAGGGTTCAAATCCCTACACTTACTGGCTGGGGCCTTGAACAAATCACGGGACTGCTGAGCTTCAACTGCTTTAGCTGCAAAAGGAAAATAATAAAAGGCCAGTGAGGTGACTCACGCCTGTATTCCCAGCATTTTGGGAGGCCAAAGTGGGAGAATCCTTCGAGGCCAAGAGTTTGAGACCAGCCTGGACCACAGAGTGAGACTCCATGTCTACAAAAAAATTAGTTTCTTTTTTTGAGACGGAGTCTCGCTCTGTAGCCCAGGCTGTACTGCAGTGGCGTGATCTCGGCTCACTGCAACCTCCACCTCCCAGGTTCAAGCAATTCTCCTGCCTCAGCCTCCCAGGTAGCTGGGACTACAGGCTCTTGCCCCAACGCCCGACTAATTTTTGTATTTTTAGTAGACACGGGGTTTCACCATGTTGGCCAGGCTGGTCTCAAACTCCTGACCTCAGGTAATCCACCCACCTAGGCCTCCTAAAACGCTGGGATTACAGGCATGAGCCACTGCACCCGGCCAACAGCAATTTTTAAAAAAAATTAATCAGGTGTGGTGGTGCATGCCTGTGGTCCCAGCTACTTGGGAGGCTGAGGTGGGAGGATCATTTGAGCCCAGGAGTTGGAGCCTGCAGTGAGCTGTGATCACACCATTGCACTCTACCTTGAGCAACAGAAACCCTGTCTCTAAAATAATAATGGGTCCTATTCCAGGGGACCTATGAAATGAAAGCCTTTTAGTAGGTGGCAAGGGTGGTGGTTATTACTAATCAGTAAGAATGACTAGAGCGTTAGGCTCAAGGCCTGGGGGATTCTAGAATCTTCTGCATGACAGTTCTTATCCTGAAGTAACTTGCCTTTTAGTAAAAAAGACGAGACTGAATGATAGAGTTGCCAGGTAAATTTTACACAGGACACACGTATAGTAAAAAATTATTCATTGTTTATCTGAAATTAAAATTTAACTGTAGTTTTATTTGCTAAGTCTGGCAATCTGAAATATACTGCATAAGAATAAAACCAGGCCGGGCATGGTGGCTCACGCCTATAATCCCAGCACTTTGGGAGGCTAGGGCAGAAGATCGCTTGAGCCCAGGAGTTTGAGACCAGCCTGGCCAACATAGAGAAACCTCATCTCTACAAAAAATGCAAAAGTTAGCTGGATGTGGTGCTGCACACCTGTAGTCCTAGCTACTCGGGAGGCTGAGATGGGAGAACTGCTTGAGCCAGGGAGGCAGAGGTTGCAGTGAGCCTAGATCACATCATTGCACTCCAGCCTGGGCAACAGAGTAAGACCCTGCCTCAAAATAAAGTTAAAATAAGATAAAAACCAAATGTGAACTTGTGTGGTGCACACGGCAGGTAGGATAGCAGCTCAGACACAAGATAGAGGGCAAACTCTAGAAGGCGGCCTGGAGGCGGCAGCAGCCACAGCTAAGCTCATTAGGCATTTTGGAATGAGGAGAACTTACAGAGGAGGAGGGGTTTAAGACCGCTCAGCCATGGCTGTGCTACCTTCTCGCACCCTGCCAGAGCCAGTGTCGGAGCTGCGGGCCAACTTCACTCTGCGGGACAGAGGGTCAGGCCCCAGGGTGGAGATGTCCTGCCAGGCATCCTCGGGCAGCCCACCCATCACCTACAGCCTGGTCGGGAAGGACGGGCAGGTCCACCTGCAGCAGCGACCACGCCACGGGCAGCCTGCCAACTTCTCCTTCCTGCCGGGCCAGACATCGGACTGGTTCCAGTGCCAGGCTGCAAACAGCGTCAATGTCCAGCACAGCGCCCTCACACTGGTGCCCCCAGGTGAGAAGGCCCTTGGATTTCCAGAGGGGCAGCTGGCGCTTCTGTGCTGGGAGGGTGCTAGTGTCCAAGACACAGGTCGGTGGGAAGTGGGACAGCTCTACCCGGCCACTGCCGAGAGCACAGAGGGCACAGGAGGCAACCATGCCCACCCTGGCCCCTGCCTAAAGGAAGCCCAACCCAGCTGCCTCCGCCCCGCTCCCAGGAGAGTTACCCAAGGCACCCACCATCATGCTGGCTGGCAGCCTCGCCTCCATTGCGGCCGTCACCTCCGGGATGCTGGGCTGGACCACGTGGGCCAGGTAGGAAATGGGTGCTGGATGCAGGGAGGAGGGAGAGCTGCTGATGGCCTGAGAGGTTCAGCCGGGCTCTGGCTGGGGAGCTCAGGTGGTGGGGCTTGCAGGGCAGGGCTCTGGCCAGGGCAAAGAAGGGCCGTCACCGCTTATGCACGACTCGAAGCTGTTTATGAGGACCTACTGTGTGTCACATGCCTACTGAGGCTTACACGTTCAAGGCGTTGTCGAACCCTGGTCAGTGCTCCCAGTTGCCCTGTAATGGAGTCTGCTGGCCTCTGGGAGGGCAGTCTCTAAGTTCTTTATGGGGTCTGAGCAGGGATGCAGCGATGATGACTCCAGGAGACCAAGGTGGACCAGGAGCTCCTGCCTTCTGTAAGAACCACATTGGGCAGTCTTTCCCAGGTGGTGGCAAGAGCCCGGGGCCCAGCCTCCCAGGGTCCCCTCTCCAAAGCCGTGGCTTTACTGACATGTAAGGTGACCAGGGCCTTTGTGGTGTCTGAGCGCAGGCACCACAGCCTGTGTGCTCTGCCTGTCTGGCCTTGGTGGTGGCCAGCCCTGCCTCTGTGAACTCACCTCTCTTTGTTTGGGAGACACTGCTGTGTCCTGGTTCTCATCCTCTGCCGTGGCCCAGGCACTTACGTGGCTCTGCCAGGACTCTGTCCTTGGCACTCTCCCATCTCCCTTCTGCCAAGTCTGTCCTTTCCAGAGGCCAGACTCATGGGTGAGCCATGTCACTTCGCTGAGCCTCAGTTTTTCCTTCTGTAAAATGGGGTACAGCCTTCATTTAGTGGGGTGAGTAAGCCCTCATGTCTCTCCTGCTGGGGCATTGATGTGCTTGGCACCATAAAACTCCCAGAGGCAGGCCAGGCACGGTGGCTCACGCCTGTAATCCCAGCACTTTGGGAGGCTGAGGCGGGTGGATCACCTGAGGTCAGGAGTTGGAGACCAGCCTGGCCAACATGGAGAAACCCCGTCTCTACTAAAAATACAAAATTAGCCAGGCGTGGTGGTGCATGCCTGTAATCCCAGCTACTCGGGAGGCTGAGGCAGGTGAATCACTTGAACCCGGGAGGTGGAGGTTGCAGTGAGCCGAGATTGCGCCCTTGCACTCCAGCCTGGGCAAAAAGAGCTAAACTCTGTCTCAAAACAAACAAACAAACAAACAAACACTCCCAGACGCCTCGGGAGGGGATGGCTGGGAGATGAGCCTACCTGACTTGAGTCTCCACTGCTTTGTCATCAAGGTCATGACCAGAAGATGGAGGACTGGCAAGGTCCCCTGGAGCGCCCCATCCTTGCCTTGCTGCCCTATAGGAGCACCGACCATCTGAGTGAAGAGGAGCTTGGGGTGTTCAGGACAGGGAATGGGGAGGTCAGAAGATGCAAAGCAGCAGCCATGTAGAATGAACCGTCCAGAGAGCCAAGCACGACAGAGGGTTGCAGACCATCGGCGTGCACTGTTCGTATTTGGAGTTCATGCAAAATGAGTGTGTTTTAGCTACTCTTGTCACAAAAACAAAACAAAACAAAAAAAATGGGTAACTATGAGAGATGGTGGATATGTTAACTTGCTTCACTATAGGAACTTTTGTGCTATCTATATGAATCCCATAATAGCAGGTTGTCTACCTTAAATATACACAAAAACATTTATTTAAAAAAAAGAAAAAAACCTGCCACGTGGGATTCTCGGAACCCTGGTGACCTTCAGCAACGCAGACAGTGTTGGTGTGAGGGCTTGAGGAGGGTCACAGAAAGGAGGGGTCTCTGTGGCCTTGTCCTCACCTCTCAGGTGCTGTCACATCTCTCCGGGTGTGGGGAGAGGGAGGGGGGCACACTGGGGAAAGGCCCAGCCCCTCCCCCGCACCTTCTCCCCTCTTCCCTGGAGGGGCACCCCACCTCCTGGTGGCACAGTCCTCTGGTTCAGCTCTCACGTGGACCAGCTCACCTGGGTGGACTCTGAGCCCCACCTGGCACACCTGCTCTTGTTAATCTGCACCTGCAGTTAGCAAAGGGGGGTCTGGAATTCTTCCGGGCTCAGTCAGCCTGTGACCCCACACCTCTGTCTGTACAACCTCCGCTCCCCCTCCAACACACACAGAACCTGCCTTCCCTGCACGGGACGCTCTGTACCGGTTTTTCTTGGGATGGAGGTAGAGAGGGATGGAGGTGAGAAGGGGCTGGAACTGGATTAAATTTTGCCCCCTGCCTGTCGCCCTGAAAACTTCGTTT